TTGATTTTGAATACCAAAAAGTTCAATATTCTGAAATTATTATTGAAAACAAGCAAAGAATAATTGAATTGGAGTTGCTGAATGAATCATTATTGTCAAAAAAAGAATTATTATCAGTTATCCAAACATTATTGGGATCCTTGAATGAAGCTAATCATCCACAGTTTAAAGGAATAAAGTCAAAGAGTAAAGGTGAATTATTATCAATTTTGCAACAAGTTAAAGATCTTTATAATGGAAATGATAATAATGAAGCAGAAGACATGATATAGGAGGAAAAATAGCAACTAATAAACTTTAAAAAATGAAAACAATTGAACCAAGTGCAATAAGATAAGTATAAAATTGTTGTTATTTATTGTATTGTTTATAACTTATACTAAGCCATTCCTTTTTTTATTTTGATTATAGATTTATTAAAGACTTAAAATCTTCAAGAAATTGATTTGTTTAATTTTATTAATAATTACCTTTTATTTTATTTAAAATTTATTAAATTATCCTATCAAAATAATTTTATCTAATTATGAATCTTTTAATTATTTACTTTAAAATTTTTGCTTCACACATAAAAAATAAATTTGTTGAAATGCAATCAGTAAAAACAAATTTTAGATATGAATTCATTAAAACTAATAAAATTTAATTTGGCACAAACTTGTTTATTTGTCGATCAAAATTTGCATTTGCCACATTTGCCACGTTGATCATTATAGTATTTGGAAATTTCCAAATTTGGTAAAATCCCTGACTGTATTATATTATAAATTTGATCACGTAGATCCATTATTAAATATAGATTTATGTACTACTGTTTAAAATAAATGATTAGATTAGAAATTACTAAATAATTTGGAGCAACCCAGAGCAAAATTATATAGTAACCTGGGTTATAATAAAATATTTTGCTCCGGGTTAGTACAAAAAATTAGAAATCTTAACCCACTCCATGATGGAGTGATACATAACCTGGGTTGATGCAGAACATTATGCTCCATTTAACAACCCTAAACAATCTACATGTATAATGTGGCACAACTATACATGCGATGGTAATTATTTTGCCAAAAACTTAATACGTAATATGTAATACGTAATTACGAAATTAATTACGAAATTAATTACGGGTGACAAAATTAATTACGGGTGACGAAATCAATTACGGGAGACGAAATCAGTTACGGGTGACGAAATCAATTACACGTGACGAAATCAATTACGAATGACGAAATTAAATGACACCTATTATTTATCTCGTTATACTAGTATAATGGCATAATTTGTCAACTTTTTTTAGAAATATAGAATTTATTCTGTTATAACAACATGTCAGTATAATGGAGAACCAATCAAAATCATTCTCATTTCTGAAAAAACATAAGGAAATAAAACTTATGCCGGGATCAAGATTGACTGGCACCATGGAAAATTCTGATAACACTTCTGTATAATGCTGTTCAATTTTGACCCAGCGTAAGTTTTAAATTTCCTGATAAAACATGAAATAAAAATAAAGTATATAATAAAAATAAAATTACAAAATCACGTGATAATGATTCTCATATGACTTCTATATGAACTCCCGTTATAATGACATTCTTGTCATACTGACATTTTTTGTTTGTACAGAGAGTGTTGCTATAACGGGAGTGACTTGTATTATGATATTTCCAATAATTAATTCGTTGTTATTCATAATTGATTTCGTCACCCGTAATTGATTTCGTCACCCGTAATTAGTTTCGTCACCCGTAATTAATTTTGTCATCCATAATTAATTACGTAATTACGTTTTTAAAGAGTGAAAGTGGTAATTAATTACGTTAATTACGAATTACATATTTACAGTAATTAGCTAATTACCATATCATGTATAGGCACAACCGTTACAATAAATATAGAAAGATGTTCATTAATCGTGATGTAATATTTAGCACATCACATGACTTCAGTAGTAAGTTCGTTCTAATTGGTAAATACTAACGGTCAATTGGTTTACAATCTCACACTACTAAAATGAAAATGATGGTAAATCATTATCATTAAAAATATTCTTTCATAAAATTAAATCACATTCAGGCAATAAATATAATGATTTAGTTGATAACTTAGCTAAATCAACTTTGCCTGAATACTCCAAATAAATCCTTCTTCTATCAAACTCCACTCTCCAATCATATTCAATCAACAATATATTGATTATCCTATATGTTCTTTCATAAAATTAAATTCAAACTCACAAGTAATAATTAAATAGCAAACAAAACCTACCTTGGTAAAGCAAATTCCATCAAACATACCTATCAATTGGTCATATACAGAATTTTGCCTAAAATTCTCTCATCATTTAATGTTCACTGAAAATAATTCACACTTTTACCAGGCACATTATACTCATGCAAACTTGAAATTCTCCATAACACATTACCTACAATAAAAAACTTAATATGCAACTATCCAATGCTACTCCCACCCAATCTTAATTGTCTCTATTGTAATAAATCACCTGAAAATACTACACACCTATTTTCTTGCCAAGCTAATTCTAATTTGGACTAAGGTTTCTGGTCCAAACTGTTTTCTCAAAGCCCAAACTAGTTAGGGCAATTTGGGCTTCTCAACATTTTTTATAAGCATGAACATTAAAAAACTACATGAATCAACTTGTTTAACTTAAACAACTTTAAAATAATTTCACCCAATTTTGGCTAATAACAAAAAGTAGTTTGGGCTTATAAAAAAATAATTTTTGCCCAAAGTATTTGGGCAATTTCGGCTACTAATAGAAGCAGGGTTGGCATTTTTAGGTGTCCAATTAATTTTTATTTGGATTTGTCCTGTCCAATTGTCCAAATGCCACAGTAACTATTAGTCCAAATTACCTAATACAGTAAATTGGACACAAATTGGACAATCGAACAAGGGGTATTTGGACAGATTTGCCAACACTGAATAGAAGCAGTTTCAGTCAGAAACCTTAATTTGGACACAATTCCATGGCTAACAATCCAACAATCAATAATCTCTAAAATCTCAAATTGGTATAGATCCTCCAAAATCACACAAACTAAACAACTATTACAACCTCTATTCCAATCTAACTTCAACCATACTTCACCTGTAATACTTGCAGCTGGATTAATTCCATCATCTCTAATTAACTCCATATATCCAATATTTACTTCCCACAAAAAAACTTCAATCATCATTCACATCATCTCCTACAATCTAATAACTTTCTATTATAAAAATGTCTGGCTTCCACAATGTGCTTTGTTTAACTCATGGTTAAAACAAAATAATATCAACTTGAAAAATAAAACAGCTAATCAATTATACCCAATTAATCAGATAGCACAAACACCCTCAAGATCTCTTTCAAATCCTAATTCTAATAATTCTCATCTAGTTTTAATAAATAACTTTATTAACACTGGATCTGACTTCCTATTGCCTAGGTAATATATGGGTCAGTCAACAATATCTATGATGTAGTTAAAGTTATTAAATTGAGACTGAATAAACTTCATAGACTTTGTTTAGCATATCTGTTTTTTCTGAAATGTTAAATTTAAATATGTATGTGTGTGCATATGTATATTTTTTAATTATTTTCAAGAGGAATAGCCTCATATAAAGTTAATTTGGAATTTATTTTGTGAATTATTTTTATTATATTTACTTTATTCTAATAAAATTATATGAGCAGGATATTGCCTTTATTAAAAAAAAAAAACTGTTTTCGAAACACGAAAACTCAAACTATTTCGAACATCTTGCCACGTGATTATCATAATTTTAACCTCAAAGTCTGATTGGCTATTATAGTTATCCTAATTTGTACCACCGAAAATAAAAATATTTTGGTCGCATCTAATTTTTTTATTAATATCAAAAAAAAAAAAAAAAATGCTTCGCAGCATTTATAAAATTCCCAATAAATTTTATAATTTAATACCCATTAAAACCATTAAAACAGATAGCAAAAATAACAAAAAGGAAAGTGAAAATGAAAATAACCGTGGTAATAAAATAGTATTATTATTATTATGATTATATTATATTTATTAACAGTGTGTGTATGTGTGTGTATATATATAAATATATGTATTTTACATTATATAAATAAAAAGAGATTCAAAAAAAAGAGCAAATGCCAAATAAATATTATCCTTCCCTGAAAAATAATAAAGAAGTGAAAATATTTTATGAAGATGTTCAATATCCATATTTTATCGAGCGTACACAAAATAAAGTATTACCGATTTATTCTGATATAAGGAATGGCAGAACACGTATTTTAACTGTTTTAAGGAGGATTGAAGGTGATACTGAGGTAAATAATCAATAAATCAATAAATCAATAAATCAATAAATAATGACAATAATGTTATTATTACTACTAGGCTTTACATAAAGAACTTCAAAAACTTTTCCCTAATACTTTGGTTACAATCAATGATAACACTGGTCATATAATAATAAAAGGCGATTATCGTCATGAATTAAATGATTGGTTGACAAAGAAAGGATTTTAATATGTATTATTTTTTTATTTCTCTATTATCAGAAAAATAAAATTTAATTTTCATCAATAACAATATAATTATCTTCGGCCCAATCAGGTAAATCAGTTTTAAATTCCCATCCTTCGCCTTCATACTTCAAAGCATGTAACCAAATTAATAATTGATTAGGCTTAGGATCTGGAAATTTATTTATATTACATTCTTCACAGTAATATTCATCAGATTCTTCATTTTTATCTCCAATCATCAAATCTATTTTCTCCTTAGATTGTTCATTGTCTGTTTTTTTAAGATTTAAATCAATTTCATCGTCGTCTCCCACCTCATTTGAAAGTTTCTCTATAATATTCTTAATTGATGGTTGATCGTTATCATCTTCGTTGCGAC